GGGGTGTGTGTGTGTGTGTGTGTGTGTGTGTAAAAGGAGCTGATGTCAAGTTGTTCAAGAAAAAAGAAAATGTTTTGAAACCGAGTGTGGTAGCAATTATACAATACTGCTTGGTGTGACTGAACTATGGAATGATATGATATCTGTATTAACTCCCAGTAAAATTGTTTTTGGAAAAAAATAAAGAAAATTATAAAGATGAAGCATAACTTTTGCTGTGCTGATAGAAAACTAATATTGAAATGCTAATTTAATAAAAACATTACATACATACTTTTGAAAATGTTACAATCTCGAACTTGCATCCTAGTTTTAAAAATACAGCTTTCTGGATTAGAAGATACACTACTGTCAGTGTTAGATTTTCCTTGTGTAAGTGGTTTAAGAATTATGCACAGCATATTTACAACATATTTAAATGTTACTAAATGTTAAAAAATATGAGTGAAAAGGAAAGTAACAGAGCTGTAAAAGCTACATGCTTTTCATGCTGGTAAAAGCAATCTTAGCACGCATTACTGAAGTAACAAGAACCAGCTGCCATCGAGTCGATTCTGACTTTTGGCGACCCTGTGTGTGTCAAAGAACTGTGCTCAGTGGGTTCCACAAGGTTTTCAGTAGTTAATTTTTTGAAAGGAGATCAGGAGAACTTTCTCAGTGCTTCTCAGTGGACTTGAGCTTCCACCGCTTCAGTTACCAGCCAAACACGTTAACTGTAGCACGCAGGGACTCCTACTTCTATATTATTACAGATTTTAAAAGGTGCTCCAGTGATTCTTCTACTTCAATATTTATAGATATAAATTACCATTCAACAACAGTTCTTCCAAGTTATCAGGATTTCGAGCAAGCTGCAGGATCAACGCAGAACCCCGAACTTTGTCAGGTATATCTTCATATAACAGTTCAATGTATTCATCCATGTCATTAATGTTAGCAAGTTCATCAATCTGAAACAAAGGAAGAGCCATGACATACTAAAAGTGAAAACCAATACCAATACTCAACAGAACCATGGTCAAAGAAATATTTTGTGATTAATAAATTTCCCTTTATAACAACAGATAAATTTTCAGAGAACTCATAGTACCTATGTTCTTTTAATAGACCTTTGGGAGCTCCAGTACAAAAGGACCTTAATACAAATTTTCTTCTACTCTTCTTTCCTCTGGGCAGGGAGAGGCCAATAGTTGTACCTTAGATGGCTGCTGGCAAGCTAAGACTCCAGTCACTACTCAGCAAAGTAGGATGCTACACCAGTTGACCTTGATCTCCACCAGGATAATGATCCTGAGCCTTCAGACCCAGCTATTTCTTTCTTTTTTTTTTTTTCAGTTTTAGTTTTATTTTATTTTTTTTAATTTTTTTTCTTTTTTAACATTTTAATAGGGGCTCATACAACTGTTATCCCAATCCATACACACATCAATTGTGTAAAGTGCATTTGTACATCGTTTCTCAAAACATTTTCTCTCCATTTAACACCCGACATTAGGTCCTCATTTTTCCCCTCCCTCCCCGCTCCCAGCTATTTATTTCTTCATAGTGTTTGGTTATGTCTAAGAAGCTTTTGAAGCTTTATTCTTTGTATACTCCACCATATTCATTGATGCAGCAAAGGTAAATACACATATTCAAATATCCTGTCAAACCTATATATATATATATATATTGTGTGTGTGGGCATACTGTCACTGTTTGCCCCACATACTCAATCTGCATGTCTATCCAAGTATCTAGTCATAGATCACCACTATTGTATTGTGTATAAAATAGTATTCACCTCTGTTACCTTTAACCCTCGTAAACTTCACAGGGCCTTCTCATGTCTCCATTTTTGCTGACCTCTCAATTATCACATATTTTTGCCATTCCCTTTGTCCAAGTTAACATGTGTCTTTGCCCTCTAGTCAGTAACTTCCTGTCTTATACCTAGTAATCATCCTTTCAGGTGAAAACCTTTTCTTGACTTTTTATAACAGTGGTCTCATATAACACTAGTCCTTCCATGATTGACAAATTTCACTCGACCTGGTGTCCTCCGTGTTCATTTATGCTATGCAGGGATTCACAGATTCATCCTCATTCTTCACCGCTGAATAGTATTCCATTGCGTGTAGGTGCCATTGTTTGTTTTCCCACTCTCCCACTGATGGACGCTTAGGTTTGTTCCCCATCCTTTTACTACCGTGAACAGTGCTATGATTATATGCATTAGTGGTGGAAAAAAGGTAACATCTTATCATCAATGGTCTATTAGATCAGATTGCAGCCTTACCTCCATCCCTTCAAAAGGAGGTGGATCCTTAGGTTTGCTTGATTTTTCCTTTTTTTCTAGAAAAAATGAGAAGCATTAGGTTTATGGTGTTGCTATGCAAAATTCTATGTCAGCAAGCAGCTGAGTTTAATTCTACTAAACAGTCGGCTTTAAGCTACAGAATTTAGAAAATAATGTATACAGAATGCTCACCTACATTCCCTCTGTTCTTATCAGGATAAATGAATATCATCCTGAAGGCATTTATAATACGGTGTCTTTTAATAAACAAATATGCCGCTCAATGTTCAGAACAAATCGTTTTCTTCTGTGCATAAACTAATAAAATCTACAAAAACTAATAAAATCTATTTTAAAAATCTAAACTAATACCCCACATTATGTTAGGCAGTATCTTTATGTTCCTTTCTAGGTAATTTTTTGCTATGTATATAGGCAGAGGAGGAAATTGTGTGGGGGCCATGTATGACCTCCTCTGACTAACAAAATAGGAGACTGCAACTCCACAATGAGTGCCACGAGAGAGAAATCACCTCTGCTTCCACCCGTCATCCTTCTTGTCTCTGTTCTGACATCAACCATCCCTTCCTCGGTTCTCTGCTTCTCTGCCAGGTTTGATACTGACCTGCAGTGGCCATAAAGAACTCGCAGACGACGTTCATGATTATGGAGTTTATTAGGGGATCTAATGTTAAGGATAAAGTTCATTTGTCCTTCATGCCTCTTCGTAGCCATGCTGGCATGCATGTCTCTCTCTGGTCCTTGGCCTCTCAGCCACATGGTCACTGCTTTGTTCCATGGACTAAGAAGCCCACCACCCTGCCTCACAGTCTTCATGCTGCTCCTCTGCTCTGCCCCATGGTCTCCGCATGGCTCTTCTGCTGTCTCACAGTCTCAGCTTGCCTCATGATCTCAGAGCTTCCACATTCAGTTCCTTTGCTGCTCCTACCACTTGCGACAGGGATCTTGCACATGGCGCCCTTAGTGGCTCTTCTTTCTTGATGGTAACAACATTCTTTCTCTTCCTGCTTCTGAGATGGCTCACTTATATTCCCAGTGGAATAGCAAAACTGACCAATCTCCTCTATTAGTGTTTAATATATCCTATTTACATGGTCCCACCCAGTCATTTGGTGGAAGTTACAAAACCTAATACCAAGTAATTGCATTTCACCATACCAGGGTTACCATTAAAAAAAAAAAAAAAGCAAAACAGTATTTTAAAGTTTCCTTTTTCTTCATTCCTAATTTCTATTAAAGTAAGAATAGGAAAGTCAACAAGGCAAAGACCATGAATTGACTTTGCTAAAATAAAAACTAAGTGCCAATTAATAAGATATGACAAATAATTTTAAAGCGAAATTAAAAGCCATTGCTACTTTTTTTACAAATAGAAATAAGATAATAAATTAGAAAAATGTTCTACATTTGCGCTAAATGGATATTCTTCTCAAATAAATTAAATACCTATTCAAACGTGTTGAATAAACAGCCATTTGTTATAATTTTTTTCTGATTAACAATTCATTTTCTAACAAAATGCTATTAAACTATCTTAATGATGTAGCTGAAAAATATAAGAACACATCAAATATATGTATATTTAAAGTGAATCAGAATAGAATTTGATTTTTATTTCATAATTCTGTCCTTGGAATGATATTAAGTTGGTATTTGGAAAAACTGTATAAACTATAGTATACAACCTGATATAAGTACACAACAACCTTAAAAGACCAATGTTGTTCACTTTACATCAATGGTGGAAGGTGGGGTGGGGGATGAGGTGTTCAAAAAGTTTATGAGAAATGGTATGAAAAGATAATGGAATTTTTCCACAAACTTTTGGAAACTCTTTTGAATGTTTTCAGAAAATTGGTTCTTGTAATAAGTTATTTTTCTTATAACTCTAGAATCAATATGATACAGATATTTCCTTTTCTACTCCCTATATCAGCAAATGTTTATGAACACACAATATGAAATGAAACCAGATAATTTTATGTTGATGCATTTGACATACAGCTTAGTACACACAAAGTTAAAACGATTGTTTATTCTTTCATTGCTTTTTTCATTCATAGTAGTGGAAAAAAATTAACATTCAAATAACAAGTGTAAGCCATAGTCAAACTACTCTAAGTTTTGCAGTATGAGATCATCAGTAATTCTACTAACCTTTTGCTGATAGTGAATCACGGCGATTTTGTAGGTAATACAACAGCTGTTCTACCTCATTTAGTTTTGAGGGATGAATGAGCTTACATTCTTCCACCACCTTCCGCGCCAGGGAAGTTATGTCTGTGTTGGCATTGAGACTCTTAAGACGAATGCTGCAAGCATATCAGAATTCCCCAACTCAGGTGTTATAAAGGTAAGCAAGTTTCAAATCAAGAATCCGTGAAGCATGTAAATGTATCTGCCCAGATAACTCGGGTAAAATATAATACATTATTAGATAGACTCAGAAAACTGTAGACAAATGTTTTTTTTTTTTTGAGCTGGACAAAAAAGAAAGAAAGGAACATAAAAAGCTACATCTGACTCTCCCAGAGAGGTCGGCATAGTCAGAGTCTGTTCTAAAATAATATTTATGAGGCAAATGTATGTAAAGTTTTTGGTCACTAGATATATATAGTATGGATACTTTTCAGATTTAATTATATAGAAGGTATAAAAGGAAAAGGGGTAGATATTTATATTAAAAACTGAGGAACAAAAGAATACATTATACGCTTAGGTTAGTATACTAAAAATACCAAAGTAAAGTGCAATAGGCCCGCCTCCCTCTTTAGGAGCCTTGGTGGCACAGTGCGCTATATGCTGGGCTGCTAACGACAAGGCAGCAGTGTGAAACCACCCGCTGCTCCTCGGGAGGAAGATGAGGCTTTCTGCTCCTGTAAGGATTTACAGTCAGAAACGCACAGCAACAGTCCTACTCTGTCCTGTAGGCTCACTATGAGTCAGATGGAAGGAGTCTATGCTGGGGTGGGATGGGGAGAGAACCCTTCTCTTTTAATTTAGCCCAGAAGATTCACGGGAATCCACAATGAAAAGCTCATCTGGAATCTGAAAATGCATGAGGGAGAGCTTTGGACACATAAATTAGGTCCGGTGTGGAAACTCATATGGCAAGAGACTACCAAGCACATACACCCATGTAACATTTCGATGGAAAAAGCAAAACATGGAAATAAGATAATGGAAAATTTCCACACATTTTTTAGGTCCCCTCAGATATAATATCTAAAAAGCCAGTTCAATGATTTAGTGGTCAGATATCCCCAAATCTCTGGTCCCCTTGTGATTCTGCAAAAGCCACTTCACAGGCTTCAATAAATTCATTTAGGGCTTAAATTTGTTAGGGCTGCCAATGTTTGCAACGAGAGCTTTAGCAATACCATGTCCCTTTATTTTAACTTTTCTTTCACCTATTTGCTCTTTTCTTCTAAAACTTAAAAATACATATTGTATTTTAATATAGTTTTAGCTAGACATCAGAAGGTAGAGACAGAAAAATCCCCACAAGATCTCTCAATGTTTACTTTTAACAAGGAATTGGGAAATCTTGACACTTTCTCTTTTTTTGATACTTTCAAAAAAGCTGATTAAGAAGAAATACAATGGAAACTCTCTAGACAGGCTTTTTAGATCTTTTTAAGATTCATTTTCTATCAGCACATATATTACCAATCTGATTCATCTGCATTCCATTCCAGACTCCATAAATTTTCTTCTTTTAGAATGTACATCTCTTCCCCCAAGCCTTTTCCTATTATGCAAGGCATGGAAAAAACAGGCAGAGCTACAATGTTTAGAAAATATTTGTAGTGTGGTCACTGGATTATCTTTGAAACTGAAAAGAGATCTTAATTAGGCAGCTTATACTATTAAAACAGCTTAATCTATTAAATTTATACCTATCAATCTTATACCAAAACTCAAAAGTAGCCGCATCAATTTTAGACCACACCACAGGGAAACTTTCAGAAAACTGAATCTCTTTTGATAATGCAGTTTTACATTCCTTTGCTGCCTTGCCCACTACTGAAAATGAAATATAAGTCTTCTGGGCCTGGACCACAGCACTGACTACTCTAATTCAATAATATTTGTACTTCATACCTGTCTCAAACTATATGCATACCATACCCCTCTCCCTATAAACACTTGTGGCATTGGTAAAACCACTTTAACCATCAATAAATCACATTCTTCTTTTGATCTCACATGATTTCTCTCTATATTCTGTGAAGCTGGGGCTCAGTATCATGGCATAGAGATACTCAGGTTTTCCCTTACTGATACTTAAATCCACTTACTCTAATCATAGTCTGTAGTTAGTCTCTGGAGGTAGCTGACTTGTGAATGTACGCTTGTCAGGAAAGCCTAAAGACTTTCAAAATATAACATTCTCATTTAATTCTAGCTGAATAAGGCTACTAAATTCATCCTTAAGAACGAACAGTACATTATCTTTTGATTTGTGGATGTACGAGTTCAAAAGCTTTTATTTGTAAAAGAAAGATCTCAAAAGACTTTCATGTTTCTCATAATGTACAAAACTCAAACAAAACCCTGGCAGAACCAAGACGAGAAGGCACATGAGAACACAAACAAGTGTGAGGCTGTGAGTTGGGATGTACTGGGGGAGTGTGTATATTTGCATGTGTATTACTATTCAATCTGACACATCAGGTGAAGAAATCAGTTTTCTTTAATGAATTATCTATGTACTCTCCCTTGCAATACAAATAAGACAGACAAGATTATAGATCACAGGTAAATACTGATGTTCTAGAATGGTACAAATGGTTACTACGCTCAGCTACTAACCAAAACCTCAGGGTTACACAGGGATCTCAGAACCAAGGCCTTGACATCTACAAGGGTAAGTGAGAAAGTATTGCTACTAGGACTCCAGCTCCTATGTTTATTCCAAACAAAACATGTTTGAACATGTCTTTGCCATCCGTAAATGAATGCAGCCATGTCTTCTCAATCATCCACATGTCTTAGTCTCATTAGAGTGCCTTCAACACAAAGGTTAATCATAACAATGGCTACTATGGGGATCTTCTAGACCAGCTACATTCAAGAGAGAGAATCAGCTCACAAGGAGCTACTGTTTAGGATGCCAAAGGGGAAATCTTGAGAAAAATAGATTTTTAAAAAGCATCATGGTATCTTATCAGAAAGAAATTTTAAGAAAACTTAAAACTGAGTTGGTGAGAAAAAGGCTAGGAAGGCAAACAACAAATTTTCCCCCTTCATGACAATGCACCTGCTCCATCCATCTTCAGCTCAGACCTTGCCCTTTAGACTTGTTGTTGTTCCCAGAACTCAAAGAACATTTAATAGGAACCAATTTGAGACCCTCCAGGATGCCAAAATTGCTTTTCTTATGAAGTATAAATCAAAGGATACATAATTCTTTGAGAAAGGGTTATGGAGTTGGAAATATAACCTTTAGAATTATATAAAAATAGAGATGTCGAGAAACAATTTGATATTTTTGTTTAATATAGGTTTACATGATTTTGTAATAGTACATTGTAATTTACCCTTATTTTTTTTTAAATGAGCTACTGAAAAACCCATGGAGCACAGGCTGGATTAGCATCCTAAATGACTAAATGGCAAATCGTTTTCAGTAAGAAGCTAAGCAGTTTCTTTAACCTCAACACTACTGACACTTTGGCAGAATAATAATTTCTTATAGGAAGGTGCCTTAGACACTGCAGGATGTTTAATAGCACCCTAGCCTGTACTCATTAGACAACTGACACTTTGGCAGAATAATAATTTCTTATAGGAAGGTGCCTTAGACACTGCAGGATGTTTAATAGCACCTTAGCCTCTACTCATTAGACAACAGTAGTACCCTTCTAGATATGACAAACAAAAATGTCTCGAGTCCTAGCCAAATATGCCCTGGGGGGAAACTAATCCTAGCTGAGACCCACCATAAAAATTAAAAATATGGGAAGGAGGAAAAAAGGAGGAGCTGATTCCAAGAGCACAAACAAGGAGAAAGAAAATGTTTTGAGAAGGATGATGGCAACCTATGCACAAATGTGCTTGATACAATTGATATATGGATTGTTATAAGAGCCCCAATAAAAATTATTTATAAAATATGAATAATAATAAAAGAAACGGAACCAAGCAGAATCAAATAACATCAGTAACATCAGTAAAATAAATAAATAAATAAATTGTAAAGCATCTCAATCAATTGCTATCAAGTTGATTCTGATTCACTGTGACCCTACTGGATAGAGCAGAAATGCCCCAAAAGATTTTCCAGACAGTAAATCTTTAGGGAAGCACTCCCACCACTGCTATCTATGATTCATATCTTGTATATGAAACAGACTGGCTCTCTTTATGCTAAGTACTATCACATGCATTCCCAGCAGCAAGTAATTGAATATACATATTTAATACTACCAAATACAGACTAGATCGATATTTTTCCAAAGTAGTTCCCAAATCAATGGAGCTCTGGTGGCATAGGTTACGAGTTGGGCTCCTAATCTCAGCGTCAGCAGTTTGAAACCACCAGTTGCTCCATGGAAGAAAGATGAGACTTTTTTACTTCTGTAAAGATTTTTAGTCTCAGAAATCCACTGGAGCAGTTCTAATCTGTCCTATAGGATCACTGTGGAAACTGACTTGATGAGTGAGTTCTTTCCTTGTTGTAGTTCCCAAATCAGGTGTTTTTATAGAACGAAGAGGACTGGAATAGAACACTAGGTGATATTGGAGCAACAGCACTTCACAAAAGTATGGAGGCAGAGAAAATTTTCAACAGCGTCTATGCAGACAAATGAAGAAGGTCAGTTTCCAAAGTAAAATGCAGGAAGAAATGATACTGTGAGATTGAAGCCCATTCCATGAAGTCCGAAAACGGCGTTTAGCATTAAATTCTCTCAGAGGGCAAGATTTAAAAGATGAAGTCAAGGTCTGTGGACCATCTGACAGTTCTACCAAGTCATACTAACTGCCTGCAATTTCAGGGAAGAGAAAGAGCGCAAGATCCCCTTAATATAAACCTCCTAAATTAAGCTAAAAAGCTCCACATAAATTTATCTTTAATGACTGATTTCACAATTTCATAGTTTATATCCTAGGAGACAAATTTCTTAACTAGGGTAAATCAGAATAAGTATTTTTTCAGCAGATTTCTATTATGCTTACATAGACCTGACTTTCTCTGAAATATATGTACCCTATATACAGAGTTTAATATAATCGGCTTCACAAATACACAATATGTGTACAAGAATGGCATAACCACTTATCTGGTTATGATTAAAACAGCAAGTGTACAGAAAGTAAGCAAGGTTCACATTCCTTTCAAAACACATACAAATACAGACTTACATTTTTTGGCATTCCTTTCGTTCTCCCAACATGGGATCACCCATCTCTCCAAGAATGGTAGCTTCCACTTCATATTGAACAATGAGTGCTTTCTCTGATGGATGTACATCAATATTTCCTCCCTTAACTTTCCTAGAACATGAAGGAAAAAGGGTATCTCCAGGTTAAAAACTCACAAAATATCTTGTTTTTATCTAGCAGCTTCTCCCCAAAACAAGGTGGCTGAGCTCACATCTGCATTTAAATAAAGTTTTCTCTTGACAATTGGGCCAAGCAATAACCCAGTTTCCTCCACCTCTGTACTACATATATAATTTCTGTCCTGCAGAAAGTGACCTGATGAATAACTCTTCCTGGGAAAAAGACATCATTCAAATATGCATACTTAAGATCAAGCCAATGAAATGTTTTGAATTAGATGTTTTAAAGAGAATGACCTCAACTAAAAGTCAGTAAAGATAAATGCCCCAAAATGTTTAACAAGAAAAATCAAGTGTCAAATAAAAAGATCATTAGTTAAATCACAGAATAAGATTAATAAATTAAACTGCAATATAATTATAGTATAAATTCCAGTACTAGAATCTAAATTAAATAACTTTTCAAATTATATCCAAAATCACATTTTTGAAAACGTGCTTACAGGTAATGCTGTTTAGTCACATAAGTCAAATTATAGTATCATTAGCAGTTTTCATAGAAAGGTTATAAGCACTAGTCCCGGGCCCCTAAAGTTAAAGAATTAATTCTTAATTGAAGTAAACTAATCATTGGGCAATCACTACTTGTCCCTTGGCCACTTAAAAAACAAACCAAATGCCATCTAGTCAATTTTGACTTATAGTGACATTCTACTACAAAGTAGAACTGCCCTTTGGATTTGAGACTGGAAATTTTGATAAGCGCAGACTGCCTCATCTTTGTCCTGAGGAGTAGCTGGTGGGTTCTAACCACTGGCCCTGTAGTTAGCAGCCCAACAAGTAATTACTTTAGAAGGTGATAGAATGAGTTGTACTAGAAGAGATTAAGCAATGACAACAAACACATTTTCCTACTCTAGTCACATTTAGCGGGCAGGATAGTCGTCCTTCAGTCTGATAAAAAAAAGGAATATAATGATCACACCTTAAATTAACTTTAATTCCATTGAGAAATCTAAAGCTTTTCTTTCATTTAGGAATAATACCTTGATTTATTACGCATATGTTCAATGCTATTTTTTAATAGCCCATTTCCTAGAATTCTTGAAAAGAAGGGTAAGGATCTCATGCCAGTGCTAGGATTCCAATTAAGAGTCAAGTTCAGTATCAGCATAGACAAAGTTCACCAGAGTATAGGGTCTAGGTAGGCCACCAAGGTACCTCTGTGGGTTAAGTACTGAACTGCTAACTGCAAGGCTGGAGGCTCGAATCCAGCAGCTAATTCTTGGGGAAAATGAGGCTGTCTGCTCTTGCAAATATTTAGTCTTGAAAACTTTCTATGGCTAGAAATGGACTTGCTGGCAGTGGTTATAGGGTCTAGCTAGATTCTCAAACTATGCAGGACAAAGCTTACAGGAATCGAAGCAGTGAGAAACCAGGCAGGTCAGTAGATATCAGGGAATTAGAAAATATGATATATAACGTAAATTAAAAGGATCGTACAGATTCTAAAAGGTAAAATAAATGGATACAAATTTAGGATTGTAAGCAAAAGCGAGTGAAATCACAGGAATCAGAAGAAAGAAGTAAAGAGAGCTGAAAGACATGCACTATAGCCCTACAGCAGCTCTCTCTTCATTACAAGGCAAATTCGTTTTTTGTCTCCCAGTGCGATGAAGAGCAGTCCTTCCAGTTCTGAACTTCTTCATATGGAAAGAGGTCACTGCATCCATGACGGCAGCCACTCGGGAGGATAAAACACTCGCTGTACGTGTAGCTTCCTACCACCACTTTCAGTCAGAGCTCCAAACCGGCTCATTCTAGTTTGACCCTCGGCAGAGAATTTGCATTTTCACCCCAGATATACAGATCACAAGCTGCAGTTTAACAAGATCCTCAATGATTCTAATGTACACATAAGGTCTTGTTAGAAGGTTGATTCTGATTCAGTATACCTGGGGCGGAAATTCACATTTTGAGCAGGGGGCGGAAACAGAATGAATCTGTTTGGAAGACCCTGCATTCCCTAGACTAGCAGCAAGGAGGAGATGGACTCGTGCTCGGGGCTAAGATCTTGCTTTTCCCCACAGAAATCAATAGTAGTTCAAAGAACCATACCATCCCTTTTCCGTTTGCTTTTTTTTTTTGCATTTGTGTGTTTTAGAGAGCGTTATCACTAGTTGACATTAGGCAAATCCCGACTCACAGTAACCCCATGTGCTGCAGAGTAGAACTGTTCCACGGAGTTGCTTGACTATAGCTTTTCTGCAAGTAGATCCCTAGGCCTTTCCCTTGTGCGACTGCTGGATGAGTTGGAACCACCAATCTTTAGGTTAACAGAGTAGGCTAATTTAAATTCTCTTATGTCTTTACTACAAAGTAGTTTGTATATATTGTAAAAACAGATCACTGAAAGTAGCAAATAAAAAGGAAGCAAATTCAAATATCTAGAGAAAACCATTTATTATTTTAGAATATATACTTTCCCCCCCTAAGATCTATAAGTAAACATCCAGAGTAGAAGCTCTGGAATTTATTTACAGAAAAGCTTATGAGTAGCCAATTGGAGTAGAACTACATTTGCATCGAACTATATATAAGATTGATTAAAAAGTGTTTATATCCGTGTGAGAGGCTGACAGAGATTGTGGGAGGGGTACCTCGTGCTCTCCCCAAGCCCTCTTGCCATTGCCACCATATGTTGTCAGGTGCTGTCAACTCACAACGACCTTATGTACAACAGAAACGCTGCCTGGTCCTTGGGACATCCTCACAATTGTTATGTTCGAGCCCAAATGTTACAGCCATTGTTTCCATCAATCCTGTCAAGGGTCTTCCTCTTTTTCACTACCTTCTACTTTACCAAACCAGATGTCCTTTCCAGGCACTGGTCTTGCCACAGCACCTGGAGCGGTCTCACTAATTGACATTAGGCAAATCCCGACTCACAGTAAGCCCATGTGCTACAGAGTAAATCTTGCTATCCTCACTTCTAAAAAGCATTCTGGCTGAACTACCATGACACATGTGTTGATTCTTTTGGCACTCCATGGTACTAGCAATATTTTTTACCAGCACTATAATTCAAGTACATAATTCTTCTACCTTATTCAATGTTCAAATTTCTCATGCATATGAAATGAATGAAGCAAATGGCCCACCACAGTCCTCAAAGTAACATCCAGGCATTTCAACATTTTAAAGAGGTCTCATGTAGCAGATTTACCCAATGCAATGTGCCATTTGATATTTTGACCGCTGCTCCCATGAGCATTAACTGTGGATCCAAGCAAGACAAATTCCTTGACAACTTCAATTCTTCTCCGTTACTACTGATGTTACTACTGATCCAGTTGTGAAGATTTGTACGTTGACTTGTAATTCATGTGGAAAGCTGCAATCCTTGATCTTTCTCAGCTAGTGCTTCAAATCCTCCTTACTTGCAGAAATTAAGTTTGTGTCATCTGCATTATGCAGGTTGATAATATACCTTCCTCCAATCCTGATACTACATTCTTCTTCATAAAATTCAGTTTCTCGGAGTATTTGCTCAGCATACAGATTGAATAAATATAGTGAAACCCACAAGGTTTCACCTTGTCCAAATATAGTGAAACCCACAAGGTTTTACCTTGCCCTATAGGGCTCTTATGAGTCAAAGTTGACTCCATGGCAGTGAGTTTGTGGTTGGAGTATTCCCTTGTTCAACTCACACAACTGCTATGTACAGGTTCTGCATGAGCACAATTGTTATAGAATTCCTATTCTTCTCAAGGTTACCCATAATTTTTTATGATACAAAATAGTAAAACACAAGCAAAGATCTTTCTAGTATTCTGTGCTTTCAGGCAAGATCTATCTGGTTTTAGTATTGCTATTCTCTGTTCTCCATCATCTTCTGAATCTTCACTGAATTTCTGGACACTCCTTGTCAATGAAGCAATCATTATAGAATAATCATCAGCAAAATTGTACTTGCAAGTGATATCAATGATATTGTTGTTGAATTATGCATTCTGTTGGGTCACCTTTCTTTGAAATGGGTACAAATATGGATCTCTTCCAGTCATTTGGCTAGGTAGTTGTCTTCCAAATTTATTGGAAGTGAGTGCTTCCAGTGCTTCATCAGCTTGTCGAAACATTTCACCTGGTATTTCATCAATTTTCAAGAGGCTTGTTTTTCATACTTTCAATGCAGCTTGGATTGCTTCCTTCAGTACCATTTCTTTCTGAGGTACTGATCATATGTTACCTGTTAAAATGGTTGAAAGCCAACTAGTTCTTTTTGATACAGTGACTTTATATATTCTTTTCATCAGTCAATATTTGACCATAGAATCTTTTAATACTACAACTTGAGGTGTGTAGAGCCTCAAATATATTACAAAACTCAATCACATAATACACAGTTTAGAAGCATACTGATAAAGCAATATAGTGACTTTAGGGAATACTTTGACTGTAGAACTGCAAATACACAGTCCACACATTCCACTGTAAGCTCTTCATTTATAATTGATATTGAAACAAATGTACAAGACATATCTATAAAACTATTCAAAAATACTACAGGGCTCTTGATTGATATACAAATATTTTGAAATTTAAAGACTAACAACAATTTAGTTGTTCTATAGAAGGTACCAGGCTTGTATGCACCTAGGAACCAGTCTCCAAGGAAATACTTTATGCTTGGTGGTAAATTAGTGAAAAAGAGGAGCATCTTCTAAAAGAAGATCCTTAGCGAGAAGGATTGACATAGTGGCTGCAACATTGAGCACAAACATAGTAACAATTGTGAAGAAGATGTAGCACTGGGCAGTATTTTGTTCTGTTGTATGTAAGTTGCTAGGAACATACAAAACCAATATATTAATTGATTTCAATTTCTATTTTGATTGGTAAAAAAACAACCCTGCTTGCTTAGATACAATTATGAATTATGTCTGCATATAGCCTATGAAAGACAGATTTCTTTTTTTTTTAAAGATC